TTTAGAATCTTTCTAAAAACCCTTTTCCAAATTGTACTTGGAATTAACAAAATCACTTTTACCAAAACAATCCATGGCAAATAAAGTAACAAGAACACCATAATTATAATTCAATTATGACATTTGCTTCATAATACTAAATTTAACATAAATCATTCTGAAAACTCAATGACTTAACAATGCCATCTTCATAAGTGACCATTGAAAATCAATCTTTCAACAACCAAATATGTAAACTTTGAGAATACATCTCAAAACCTATAAGATTTCTTGTCAAACATTAAGAAAATCTTTTTAGAAAAACTTCACTTAATTTTCGACCCTACTCTCGAAAATCAAGGTTTTAAAACACAAGTCAAAGACTTCAATCCTTAAAGTTGGCACAATTCAACTTCAAAGACCTTAACACACTTTGATACCAAAACTGATATCACTAAAATTCATTCCTCATCACTTGACAAAGAAAGTTTTTGACTCAAACTCAAAGTGTAAAACTCGAGAAACAAGAAAACCAACACTTGTTAATTTTGAAAAATCTTTTGACACTAAGATTAAACAAAATTCGGTCTCTATGAAATTTTCATGAATTGAAAATTCATAAATTCCATTTTACTCATTAGATTCAAATGAAACCAACAAGAAGGAAGGCTTTTTCATTTATACCTTATGTAGAAAGTACAAAATCATTAAGCTTCACCTTTCAAAGAATAGATCCAAGATATTTACCACAAGATAAACTCTCAAATCTTCCTTATGTAAAGACATCTCTTTTAGAAAGAAAAGGCTATCTCGAGCAAGAAGCTCTTCTTTGGCATCAATTCTCTCCTTAAAGATCCAACACATAAGATCCACTAACTTGCTCATAGGAGAAACAGTTCTCTACTTGCAAATCAAGGATAAATTTCAAGATGTAGCGCCCACTTTGATTAGATACCAACGTACCATCATCAAGCTCTCGCATAGACCTTAAAATAACACCACAAGATCAAACAAATGTGTAAGAAGTCTCGCACAACCACACAAAAGACAAGATCAATTTTGAAAACGTAGTTTTCACAAGAATTTGATTTATTTTTTCAACACCCCATTCCAAAACAAGAAGGAACCTTGAAACAAATAAAGATAGTACTACTCGTTAAGTAGCACAAAGCTCGATCACCACACCAAGTAACGGATTCCGTGGTAATTCAAGATATTCTCAAAACCAAGAACTATAAAGTTCCCAACTAAGAAGAAATCTCTCGAAAATCAAATCGATAATAGGAATTGATATGACAATATCAATTAATACCATCACTAAGATAATCCAAGCTCGATACCAAGAAAGCGATAGCAATCTCGTAGACGAAGCAAATTTCGTTAATGCAACCATCAACAAGAAGGTACGAAGATAATTTTGTCTATCCCGTGAAACTCAAAAGAGTGCGGAAAATTCACAAGAAGACGATCGTTTATCTAAGTGATTCTATCTCTTAACTCAAACCAAGCAAAGAACACATTATCCATGAAAGATTCGAATTAAACAACAACCCACGCTAAGAATAGCAAGGACACCATTCAATATACTCGATCAGTCATTAATCAAGAGACTCAAGAAAGGTAGGAGCAAACAATGCCCAACTATGAAGGAATACTATTGATTAGTAATCTTCATAACCAACCAAAGATATGCAACACATACACTATCTCAAAATGCTTATGCCAAAGCACAACTCATCCCAACAAAAGTAGGACAAACCCCACAATGGATCTCATGAACACACTCATCATGAAATTCGAACACCAAGCCAAAGGAAAGGCTCATCAATCGAACTACTAGAAGTAGTATGAAAATAAGAAGTTTAGTTTTAAAACAATTCTATCAAGAAGCATACTTGAAAAGAATGGTTTCGCAAGATCAACAAGATCCAAGACAAGATGAAAACCCTCTTGGTTTAAACATACTTGACACGAAAAATGGACACTCCATTTAACAAAATTCCTCACAGGAAAAACTCTCAAAGAGACAACAAAATGACCACTCAAGGGTGCTTCTAAAATTCGGCCAAGCCTCCCTTATATAGGCTTGAATTTTTCGCCAAGCACCTCTAAAAGAAGACCAATTAGGACTCTCTAATCTTATCTCACAAGGAGTAAAAGTAGAAGAGTACTTGATCTCTTTGACTCTATCTAAAATCTAGGAAACCTTATCTAAATCACTTATCCTCAAGTAGGATAATATCTAGAAGGAATCTAAGACTCCTAATCAAAACACTCTAGCTTAATTCAGTCCACATGACTTATTTAACTAGATAAAATTCGAAAATAACTCCTAGACTTAGACAATGACTCTAATCTCGAAATTCAGCTCAAATTGTTGAAGTAAAATGTCTTGAACGCCCTTCCAAAAGTGGAATATTGGTCTTGCGCCCCTTAAGTTATAGAAACCTCCAATTTACTCCAAAACTTGTAGAATTCACCTTATTGACTCCAAAAGAATGGAAAATCACTTGAAACAATTAAGATAGTTTGCAACCTATCCAATTGTGTAGCAATGGACTCAATCTTGAACACTTTGATCAAATAGGCCGTCCACTCATGAACCTAAATGACTCTTCTCACTAGCTTTGATCAATGATCTTCATGGAGCACACAGAGTCAAACTCTCTTGATACTCTTCAGCACTTATTTCCATGAGGTCTTCATCTCCTTTGGTTTGCACCCCAAAGTTAATGACATTCTCATCACCTTGATCATAGCTCTTTTGAACCAACTCCCTATCACATAGGTAGTCAAGATCCATCCTTTCTTCCTTGATTGGCCTGCAAAGTAAACTTGGCATTCCAAATCTAGAATGAAGGACTAACTCATTCCCCTCACTAGGAGAACCTCCATGGAAGGCTATATGATTCTCATCAAAGTTTTAGGTAAAATGATGATGCTCTATTTGGAGCACAAAATTTCCTAAACTCGGGATACTAACAAATTAAAAGATGAAGAGCAAATCGGGTATTAGTTGGTTGGACCAGAGTACAGCATCCCAGGAATTATGAAGTGAATGAAAACAAAAATCCTAAACACTAATCAAGAATCGAAGTCTATTATAAACTACTCGTAAAACGATTTGCAAAAAAATAAAAATAAAAATTGCGGTTCTCCAAATTTAATCATCACCAATAATGATGATACTTATTAGAACAAAAAGTCAGAGAAAGACCGGAAAAAAGAAAAGAAAAAACCACTGGAAACCCTTTATTAAAAATAAGTGATACAAATTGATGAAGATGATGAAGAAACAAACATAATGAGGACAAAAAAAAAAAAAAACTCCACAACCGGATTAACTGCCGGAAACTCCACTGACATGCATGTGGGTAAAAGGGATAACATGTAAAAGAAGATGAGAGTTCACGTGCTTTCTTCTTTCAAGAGAAAGAAAGAATAATTTTTTCAGGGTCAATTCTTAATTGGGGTCAACAACCCCAAGCCCCGCCAATTTGCAAGTTACATCTGCCATTGATGATATGGGGGTCAAGGTCCCTTGGGTTTACATCCGGCGCGTCAAACACGTGGTTGTATAGGGCTATACAAATGCATTCCAGTTGGTTGAATTTAGTCATCCCAACGAAGAGAGAGCAGCATGGTTCAGTACTTCCCACCCCGGTTCCATTATTCCTGAAAAAATCAGTGCATGGACTAAATATACGGGTGCTTGACTTTTGGGTGAGCCAAACCCAAAAGTGTGGAACAAAAAATGTGTAGGGTTTATTTTGTAGACAAATATAATCTTCTCGCGTTTTGAAAACGCGAAACAATCAAATTAGATTAACATTTCGCGTTTCACAAACGCGAATAATGTTAATTCCATGCACTCAGATTCAAACGGGTCGAAAGCAAAAAAAAAAAAAAGAAAAATCGGTTTTTCGCGTTTTAGAAACGCGAAAAACGTAAGACGCGTTTGTAAAGCGCGAAACTTTGTTTTCGCCTTTGCAAAGCGCGAAACTTTCTTTCGCGTTTTCAAACGCGAGAAACTATTTTCGCGTTTAAAAATGCGAAAATCGTAAGTTTAAAAGTGTAAATTTTGCAAATAAGAATTTAGCGTTTTGAAAACGCGAAACAAAATTTCTAGCGTTTTCAAAGCGCGAAAAATAGATTTAGCGTTTTAAACGCGAAAATATCCAGAAAATCTCCTCATCCACTCACCCGTCTCCACGTGTATTTTTATGATAAGTCTGGAATGTATTCGCGTTTGTTAAACGCGAAATTTAAGATTCATATATAAAACAAGCTTTAACAGCATTTCTCCGCAAATTTCTTTCATTGTTCACTCGAATTTTCTTTCCAAATTTCTTTCATTCGTTGAACTCCGATTTTAAGTTTTACTCCGGAGGACTTGCTGAATTCGTGAAAACTCTCATTTTCTTCAAATTGAGAAGTTGCTCCGAGGTTAAAGAAGATTGATTTGAGTCTGAAGCCTATTTAAAACTCTAAGTTTTAACATTGAGGTAAGTTTATTTCGTTATTAAAAATATGTACTTTTTATGTTTTATTATGAGCATAGGATGATTTACGCATTATTATTAGTTAATATATAATTGTGATTTAGTCAATTAACGGTGGTTTTTATTGAGGTGATAAAGTAAATTGAAAGAAATATTAGTTAATAGAATATTAAATTAGATGAGCATTGTAAATTATTGTACATCGATTTCGTAAAATAAAATAAAATTATAATAATGATATTGAATTTTGAATATTTACAGCATAAGAATAAATTATGTAATTCGGGCATAAGGTTTAGATTTAATATTAATTTTGAGCATACAAATGAATTTGTAAATTCAGCGTATAGTTGTTATTTTAAAATTATTAAATCAGAACGGGGTAAATACTATGGCTGCAAACCGATTTCGTAGGAATTGATTTTGCAGGCCGCAAATGTCTTTCACGGAGACGGTTAAATGCAAATTATACTTGGAATACTACTTATACAACCGAACTGATGGGACTATCACGGTACAATGGGATGCGCGGACGGTTATCTTATCATTGATCGTATGTTAGATTTCTCGGAACTTGTTGATAGGGTATTAAGTGTGATCGGAGTTGATAGAGAAGGGCTTTATATTGATTTTTCTTTGGTATGGACGGAGAGGTCAGGAAAAAGGTCTCGTGTGCACATTAATGATGATAATACTGTTCGGTTCATTTATCTTTGTGCTGATAAATGGCCAGAATTGTACCCTGAAAAAGTTGAGAGAACAGGCCATGTTTATGCAAGTACATCTGGCCAGGATATTGGTGCCAGCACTAGTGGTGGTAGAACAGTTGAAGACAATGAAGATGGAGATGAAGATGGAGATGAAGATAAAGATGAAGATAAAGATGAAGATAAAGATGAAGATGCAGATGAAGATGAAGATGTCGGGGGTGTCGAAAGCAGTGATGATGAGTACGTCCCATCGGATGAGGACTCAGATGACGACACTGATTTTGAGTCATTTTTTTCAGTCCCATATGTTTTCGACGACATAAGTGGATGGGACAAGACTTTAGAGGAAGTAGAAAACGATGGAATTAAAATGTGGGATGGCAATCCGTTGACGCTAGGCCTTGATATACATTTCGCCAACAAGCCTGAGGCACAAGCGGCAGTGGGAGAATGGAACTTGGTACATGGTCGGACTTTCCGAGTGAAAACGAGCTCTAAACGAACATGGTATGTCGAATGCGAGACGTGTGGACCTAAATATCCGAAAGAGCGCCTTCACGGCTATGATTGTCTGTGGAAGGCGCGAGTTTCGCTACAGAAGGCCACCGATACTTGGAAAATGGTGGTATGGTCCGATTCCCACAACTGTCTTGGGGCAAACAAGAGAAACGAGTCCCGAAATGTCACGTCTTCTATGATTGCTAGACTGGTTGCCCAAAATGTGCGAAAACATCCAGATTTTGCAGTTGCCCAAATTCAAATAGAAGTGAGAAGAGTTACCAAGTCGAATGTAGCTACAAGAAGGCATGGCATGGTAGAAGAAAAGCACTTGAGGCTCTGTATGGTACATGGGAAAGTAATTTTCAACAATTGCCCAGCTTCCTCAATGCATTGTTCATGTCAAACCCGGACACTTGTGTGCAATTCAAGTTTAAGGAAAATTCAGGAAGCTCACAAAGGTTTGTATGTAGGTATGTTTTCTGGGCATTTGGGCCATCTATACGTTATTTCATGCTTGTTGGCCGTAATAACCATCGATGCCACTCACTGCGAGGATCCTACAAAGGAAAACTAATTGTGGCATGCGTAAAGTGCGCAAATGGCACGATTGTTCCCATCGCATTTGCTCTTGTGGACGAAGAGACTATACACACTGGAAATGGTTTTGAAGTATTTGAAAAGTTTGTTCTACGAGGATAGGAAGACTGTATTATCTCCGATCGAAATCGGGGTATCCTTACGCCATGGACATCATGTTGCAAAATTCCCAGAGATGGGCGTCCACCGTTATTGTCTAGAGCATGTTAAAGCAAACTTGGTTGGGCATTTTCGAAAGGAGAAACTGCGAGGCAACTGTCAAATGATTGGTTCAGCGACGCAAAAGACAAGGTTCTTGGCAGAGTGGCAAAAATTAGAAGAAAAAAATGAGCCTGCTGCTCGTTGGCTTCAGAAGCTGGGTGTTGAGAAATGGACCTGTTTACACGATGGAGGGCATCGTTGGGGAGAAATGACCACTAACATCTCCAGGTTTGGAATGATCGCCACGGCCAAGTTGTGGGGACTGATGATCTTTATGTTGGCGAGCCTTCCGCAGATCCGGAGTATCTCTTGTGGTACCATCAGGTTACTGTGAAGTATGTTACGGATCCGACGGACTCTGAAAATGCGAGGGGTTTTCACGGTTCTGCAGAGACCTTGCGCCTCATGGTGAGTATTTCGCCTACAGTCCATTTGGTTCTTTTTATTAACACTGTTGTCGATTTATGATTCTTTCTAATAAAAATTTCAGGCCACATTGATGGAGGACGTTCGTAGTCTGAGTATTATAGGCCAGCGTACTTTCGACGCGGACTCCTTTGGTTATGATCGCTTAGGCGAGATTGCCCAGGTTGCTGAGCGGGCGTTGTCCGTCAATGCAACAAATGTTGTACGGCACGATCTCGATAGGCATGTTGAGGTTCATGACATTTTGAGTCAAGAACTTGCACCTGTAGACCCGACCCAGCAACATCCACCACCCAGACCTCCGAGGCGTTCGCGCAGGTCTCAGCGTGGGCGTGGGGGGCAAGAGACAATCACAACATCTCAGCCACATCAGTCCTCCCAGCATGAGCAGTCTCATATTCCCTTCACTGGCGGTTCATCGCATCAGTCTCCACATCAGTCTCCACTCCATTCTCGACAGCATTCAGCCCATCAGTCTCCACATCATTCATCCCATCAGTCTCCACATCATTCTTCGCCGACCCATCAGCGTTTTACCGTCCGATTATGTCTCCCAAAGACCAAGAAATTCAATTTTTCCTTCACTCAGTTTTCTTCCCCTCGACTTCTCAGCGTCAGTTTGGAGATTCTTTTATTGACTTTTCTGGGTTTCAGCAGAGTTCGCTAGATGGCCAGTCGATACATTACACGAGTAACTTTCTTTCGAGTATGTTCGAGGGTGTTGCGGGTCAGCATCAGGCTGATAACCCAGCTGAGGGTGAGCGTGAGAGTCAGGGTGAGGATGAGGCTGAGGATGAGGCTGAGGATGAGGATGAGGATGAGGCTGAGGATGCAGACCAGGATGATCAGTTTGAGGGTCAGGGTTATCAGCGCCATGAGGAGCAGGGATCGAGTCAGACTCTAGGGATCCACCGTTGGCTATGAGTAAAGGCCAGAGAGTGACGAAGGAGCCCGATAGATTGACTTATAGCCTTTTTCGGGCTAAAAAGCCCAAGAAGAAGTAGGGTACTAGACTTCTTATGTAGTATTATTAGACTTGTATTTTTTTTTCCCTTTTGTTCATTTCTGTTTTTTTTCCTTTTGTTATGACTTGTTTTATTTTTTTTTACCTTTTGTTATGACTTGTAGTATTTTGTTATGACTTGTATTAATATTCTTAATAGTTTGATTTCACCTGCATCGTAAATACAATAATTAATATTTATAAAACACATCTTCGCCGATCAAATCGAAACACATATTTAAACTTTCTTATATTTTTTTTCATAATTAATAGTTGCTTCATCTTAAGTGTTGCTAAATTAAAATAAATATTTAATAAAATTTATTCTTATTTTAAGCTTTTTTCTTATATTAAAACCATCATAATTAATAAAATTAATTTGTAAATTAAATTACATCTCATTAAATCCATAAAATTACGTCATTATCATTATTGAAAATTTTTCATATAAAATTATTTTTTAAAATAATGATTACATTTTTAATAAAAATTTTTAATATAATCATTATTAATTTTTTTTATATAATGTTCTAAAAAATTAATACATTATAATAACTATATCATACTTTTAATAATTTATATTTAGTATAGCTCTATTTTATTTAATGAGTATCAATTATAATATTATATTCTTATTCAAAATTTAATTTTCGTATTATTAAAATTATCAATATAATTTTTCTCTTTATAGCTCTATTCAAAATTTAATGATTAACAGTTATAATTTTAAAATTTTCTGTTACCATTATTCAAATTTAATAATTTTTTGAAGTCAATTTCTCTATAACGTTTTAAACTAGTCAAATTAATCATATTTTTATGCCTATTTCTTTTTTTATTAAATAAAATGTTTTTTTTAATTGATTTCGCGTTTTGAAAACGCGAAATCTTATTGATTCAAGTTAATTAATTAGGATTATGTTAAATTAATTTTTTCTCCTTCTTTTTCGCGTTTCAGAAAACTATTTTTGAAATAAGCATAAAAATTTAAACCCTAAACATATTTTGTTCTTCATTTTTTTTTTTCAGTTACTAATAAGTAAATTTTCCCTAAATATACTGACATCCACCGGACATAAAACTTCAGAGTCATCCGGAGGTGGCGGGGGAGTCACGTCTGGCGGCGGTGGAGGCGGGGGAGTCACGGCGGGCGGTGGAGGAGGCGGGGGAGTCACAACAGGCGGAGGCGGCGGCGGTGGGGTCACGTCTGGCGGAGGCGGTGGCGGGGGAGTTACGTCTGCGGAGGCGGAGGCGGCGGAGTTACGGCGGGTGGCGGCGGCGGAGTCACGACTGGCGGAGGCGGAGGTGGGGGAGTGACGGTGGGCGGTGGAGGCGGCGGCGGGGGAGTGACGGTGGGCGGCGGGGAGTTACCGAGGGCGGAGGCGGCGGCGATGGGTGAGATTTACATTTTGGAGGTGGTGGAGGGGGAGATTTTGGTTTAGGAGGTGGTGGCGGAGGAGACTTAGGTTTAGGAGGTGGCGGTGGAGGCGGAGACTTACGTTTAGGAGGTGGCGGTGGGGGATGCGACTTTTTGGGAGGAGGTGGCGGCGGAGGAGGAGATTTGGACCAATGATGGTGATTATGTTTATCATCATCATTGTGTTTTGGTTTTGATTTCGTGCATTTGTCGCCATCACATTCCAACGTTGCCGTGGCTACAGTATAAAGACTAAGGAGGAGGAAAAGGGAAAGAAAAATGGCTGCGACGTTGATGCTCTTGAAACCCATTTTTAGCTTTGAATTTCAAGAGACTAAAAATGCTTTTCTTTTGGGTGGAGAGATCTACAGCAAAGTGAGGCCTTTTTATAGTGTTTATTCAAGCCTTGGCCTTGAAGCTACATTGTACCTTGTTTTAAAATTCATATATCGCCCCTTCCAAAAAATTACTAGTATTTATTTTCATATACTAAGTTAACTTCACAAAAGTGAATTACTTTCATGAGTTAGATGAAGTATATTAGCGAGTTGACCTCATACATGCAGGGAAATATTTACAATTAAAAGTGAGAAAGATTGATGTGAATTAAATTATATCCTTTCATTTTTATACTTTTTATTTAGACTTTATGTAATTATTTAGGTTAGGAATAATGATGTACGTATACAGGAAACTTTATCCCAGAAAAAAATAACAAGAAATAATCATATCCATTCACTTTTGCATTTTTCATGTGGAGTTTATTCATTTATATATTTTCTTGTAATTTTTTCCTACATATGTCATTATTCCAAGCTTACGCGAACAATTCAGATTTAAACCATATTATAGTGAAATTTCCTTACAGTTTTTCCCTGCATGTATGATGTAGCACATGCTATTGCTACTCATGTGAAGTCTTATGTAAATGATGTAATAACTTGGTTTTCACCATCAATTATATTTTATCCTTAGTTAGGACTGTCTGATTTTCAGCAAGTTTAATGAATTTTTTTTTTTAAAAAAGTTATGTGAAGAGACGTACTTCTGATATTGTTTATGTGCTTTTTTTTTTTGGCTCTCTTAATTTTTATTTTTTTCAAAGTAATGTACATAATGTTTATAGGGTAGTGAGGGAAATATCTTCTCTGTCTTAAAATTTTTGTCTACTTTAAAATTTCAGAATACAACATGAACTTAAAATAAAATTCAAACTAGACAATCATTTTGGGATGGAGAGAGTATTTATGTGACCTAAGAAAAGGTAAAATATATTACTAGGCTCGTTCAGCAGCTTTTTTCTTAAAAGAAAATTAAGGGGGAACAAATTAAAGGATCACTTGGCGACTTTCTTTTTTTTTTTTTTCAATTTATATAAGAATAAAATTAAAAAAAAAGCTATGGTGTAATCCTAAACCAACATACCATACTCGCAGTAATGCATATTCAAAACGGATAAAACTCTCCGAATAAATACAAGTCAAACATTGACTAACATATACTATATCAATCATTAATTAATTGTTGTTAATTAATGAGCTACTTGTATTCTCTCAATGATTGTTTAACCTAGAGTATAATAATAAAACTAGTACTAGTTTTCTAATTTGTCTAACTGCAACTTGAGTTAGGGTATAATAATAAAACTAGTACTAGTTTTCTAATTTGTCTAACTGCAACTTGAGTTATGTCATGATCAGCATTTTTTTTCCCCTTTTAATCTTTCCCCATCAGTTGACTTTTCAGTAGACAAAACTAATGACGTGAGAAACCAATCCAATTGAATGAAAACTAAAGAAGAGAGTTATTTTTTCTTCCCATAATTGGCTCCATCAGATTGACGTTTCTTCATTTTATATTTTTCTATTTAGATTTTAATCATTTGAAGTTAGCGGGATAATTTATTTGGATTTAATATACATCATTCCTTGCAAAAGTCATTGTTATTCTTTTTTCATGTATCACCGCTTTGTTTTTCCTCCTCTTGATAACACTTTGGAGTAATTGCATATAAGATGGAGTTAACTAACTTTACACAAACCAATAAAACTAATAAAAATTAGTTTTTTGTCTTAAAAATATTGTAAATTTTCCAAATTGTCCTTGATAACATTAATGAAGTGGTTAAATTAATTTTGAATTAGTTAGTTGTGAGGGTAAAGAGAGGGAAAAAACCATTAAATGCTTTTTTGAAAATATAAAACTTCTTATAAAAAGGAATGGAAAAAGTATGTCTAAAACCTCTTATAATAAGTCAAACGTTAAATTAACAAACTAGACAGCAATGCACATTCAGACAGCAACTCTCCTGCTCATAATAACAAATATAAGTCAAACGTTAAATTAACGAACTAGATCCATCATTAATTAGTTGTCGTTTTATTTATATATAGATTTGTTATTGTCGCGCTACGCCAGACCAGTTTGAATCATGTCAATATGAATTCATTTTAAATGGTCACGTTATTAGTATTAATTTGCAAGTAAAGCTAATAAATTAAGATGATTTTATGAAAATAAATCGTTGAAGTTTACCAGATAAAAATAAAAAAAGTAATCTTAAGCAAAAGCCACGAAACTACTTACTGAAGGATTAAAAGCCCCTCACTTCATTCATAAATAATATTACAATGAAATTAGGTAATGAAACGACATCATTTTGGACGCGTGGTTGACAAAAAATAAAAATCAACTTTAGTAATTAACAATTACAGCCTTGTTTTAAATAGCTGATGTCATGTGAACTAATTGGCCAATCAAATTACTGAATTTTATTTCTGACCAATCACGTTCAAGATTTTAAACTTACCAAGAGACATTTAGTTATGTACGGACAATAAACAATAGTAGTACTTTTTCTCAATTATTGTCTAAAGTCCTAATTAGTATATTTTAATTTGTCTAATTGGAACATCACCATCAGCATTGCTTTTTTTATTTTTATTTTTTGGCCGTTTTCCCATCAGTTGACATTTTTTTGAGGGGTTAATATAAAAAACAACCCCAAAGTTTCATTATCTAAAAACGCCCTTAGTGTTTAAAAAAATATCAAAAACGTCCTTTAATCGGTAACTCAACTATCAAAAGGGTCGGTAACTCAACTATCAAAAGGGTCTTTTGGTAATTGAAAATTGATATATGCACATGAGTTCAGTAAAAAAAAAAAAAAGTGTCAAAGAGACATTTGTAATACGTAGAAACCCTCCTTAACTTTTTTTTCAAACTCTAATAAAATTAAATCTATTGTACTTAATTAAAGCAGCATACAAGAAGGACATGTGTCAGCTCCACGTTTAATATTTTCCCGCCAAAAGCCATTTTCAATACAAAATCATTTTTGACACGTGGCTCCATAAAATTTCAGAAAAACAGCCCCTAAAAAACCCCAATTACTATATATAAATTCTTTATTGTTATTATTATTACTAATAATCTAAGATAACTACCAATTTTAGCTCCAACAGTAATAGAGTTAAATCTAGGATATTAATATCATCGATTTAAAACTCAAATTGCTCACGCATAATTATTCAGCATTATCCATGGAACCCTCAAATTAGGATTCAATCGTTCACTTTGTTCACAAATCCACAATTCGATTTATCAAATCAAGAAAAGAATCGCATTGATCCAACTCTATCATATATGCTATATTTTCGAAAACCAATTTTCACTTTGTTCTCCCCGCAGATGAAAAAATGGGCATCGACAATCGGTTTCATGAAGGTGCTTAGGTCTTGAACCAGATTCAAATTTAGATTAATAAGGTTCCAATAATTCCTTCTCTCAATATGCAGATATTGATAGAACTCTCACCGGGCAAGGAGTTGAGATCGGTGAAACCATGTATTTGATCAATGAAGTAAGATTATTGTCTCTCCTAAAGGGCAACGCTGAAAGGAGAGATATGTCGCCGCCTTACGCCGATTGGAAACTGTAGTTCGCCAACCAAAGTATTCCCTCAGGTAACAGGGCTTACTTAATTTATTATAATCATTTTTTTTCTTATTTGAATTTGTAGGGGTGAAGTGAACAAAGATGCATCTGATTAAAGATGAACGATGGCACTCTCGAGTTTGTTGAAGGCTTGGTTGTCGAGGATCTTAAGGTTATAAAAGCCGAGAAGGTATAGGTCACCTCATTGTCTCTGTGGTTTTGGAAGCCTTAATTGTTGATTCTTAAAAAATTTATGATTTATATGTTTTGGAAGCATTAATAGCACTGTGCTCATCCATGACTCTTCTCTTAATTTTTTTTATTTTTATTTTTTACTTATTTTAAGCTCTTTGTTCATGAATTCGTTTTCACCCTGACATTTTATTAGGTGGTTTTGGTCTTGGTTTTCTTCTTGAATTGATCAAAATTTTTGTTGCTGTATTTTTCCCAATATTAGATGTCTTCTTTATTTTTTTTTTTTCAGAAGTTCAGTTTCTTTTCATATAAAAAACATAGTGTTTCATGGTGGTTTATTTGGGTTTTAATACTGTGATTGCATATTGTTTGAAATATCCGATCTTAATTAGAGTCGATAATTTAGTAGCAACGTTCAATTTGTCTTACAAAAAAGATTATAGGTAACAAGTGAAGCAACATGTTTTCCTAATGATTAGGTATTTGTTGTTCTTGGGATAGACTTATTTGATTTTAAGATTGAAACATGAAGAGTAAGTTTCACTCACTTTGTATTCTGGTGTTTTTATTGTTTCATATGTATTAATATTCTGATACTTGCAAAATTATATGCTAATACTTGTGGCTAAGAGTGGTTGCATTTGGACCAATAGTTTCGAGAGTAACTATTCTGGCTTTCCATTTTAGTTTGACATTTTATAAGTGCTCTTTTGTCGATTATAAAAGCTACATAACATATTGAATTTAATTTTGAAGTCATAAATTTGGAGGAAGGTATTTGGTGAAATGTTTTTAATCTGAGTTTATAACAAAACTCCTCATATGCAAAGTTTTGTTATTTTTCTGGGAGTTGTTAGGATCAGACGAGCACTTCACATCTGACTGGCATTTTACATTGATAAAACAATACATTATTTCTTCTTGCCTTTTAATCTGTACAACTGGTGGTTGAGACTGATTTGTTTCTTTTTTTCGTTGCTTAGGTTAGGTTCTATACATTAGTGGTCGTAACCTTTGGAACTGTAGTCCCTACTGGGCAATTTGATCCTGGCATAATGACTGGGTCATCATATGGGATTTTAGTTA